GAGAGAGAGAGAGAGAGAGAGAGAGAGAGAGAGAGAGAGAGAGAGAGAGAGAGAGAGACCTTTTGTGTCACGGTGACACCGCGAACTGCGCGATGGGCATCGCACTTTTGCGATTTCCAATTTGTCCGTGCATATCAGTCGAAATCGTATATCGTCGCGGCAGCAATAAGAGTTACAGCCAATTTAGAATGGCTCTGCCTTTACGAGTAGATATAAGTGACCTTTTTAACCGTGGTCCGTTACGCATAATTTACGTTCATTATCTTTAATGGGCGAGCTATTAGGAGGGGCGCGAGTAATAGTATGGCAATACCACTAATGCCTCCGGCCCTACTCTTGCTCCCTATCCTTTTCTCCACCTTCTCCTCTTTCTTCTTCCACCATTTTTCTACCAGCACGTTTAAACGTCTACTCAATGCAAATAATGGCCGGTAGCGGAAGAATATTGTTTCTTGCGCGGAAGAAAGTAATGACCGCGGAGCGCGGAGGTACCGAGGCGGATGTATCCGGGACTATATCGGGAATTGCACGTCAAGCGCTTTCCAAGGGAGACGTATTACTTCATCTATAGCTCTCGTCGAAAGGACGGTGCAGCTGGTACAGGACGTTCCATGTGGCGTGTGCGTTTATTCGGCAAATCCCTCCCTAGAATCATTTTTCTCTTCCAAAATAAATCCGATACCGTCTTCTCTAATATCTCAATCTTCCAAGTCCATCGTATCGACAAATTTTAACTCTAAATCGATACCTTTCCCAAATCGGAGGCTCTATTACAACGATGTATTAATGCCGGGTCTAATCAGTTGAACATTAAAAAGTGATCTGATATAAACGTCCAGTCGCGGCTAAAATTCGGAATTCGACTGACGCTGTGTAATGGCGGAGAAACGCTTACGTTCCATTCACAGTCTCACTCTTTGTTTCTGTACTGCACCCCTCGTTTCTGTTTTTACGTTCGCAGCGTTCGCTTTAACGCGGCTATTCGCGAAGGCGTCGCGTCGCGTCGCGCCGCACGCGGTGGACACCCCGGCGCGACGTTCGGGGCGCAAATACCTCCGAACGTCCCTCGGGCTGTCACTTAGTGTCCTAAAGAAATAACATTTCCTTCCCCGCGCATCAGAAACGCGCGCGCTCGCGCCGCATTGTCGTCGTCCTCGTCACCGTCTCCGTCTCCGACATCGTTGCCGTCGTCGTCGTCGTCGTCGCCGTCGCCGTCGACGACGTCTTTCGCCGGCGGCGGAGACGACGACGACGGGGTAACACCGCGGATTCCCGTCCCGTCGCATTTTTATTTCGCCACGAGGCCAGTCCGTAGGACGGGCACGACTGGAGGAGGAGGAGGAGGAGGGGGCATCTACCCTCGCTAGGCATTGCACAAGTGTCAGCCTGAATAATACATGTCCGTTGCAGCGAGTATACGACCTGACACGGGCTGTTCCCTGTACGTACGTACATGTATATGTGTACAGCAATGTGTACATACGTGCACACGCGCGTATACATATGTAACGATCTATACGGACGTATTTCTTTCCCCTGGCCCTCCTCCTTTCCGTCCGTTCAGCAATGCTTTCTCTCGCTCCCTCCCTCGCGCGCTAACTCTCTCCTCATGCTCCTCTCTCTCTCTCTCTCTCTCTCTCTCCCTCCCTTCTTCTACTCCCCCCTGTCGCGCAGTTACGCTCCGTGGGTCCTTTGACAAGCGAGTTTACGTTATCGCGCAAATCGCTATGCTGGCATACATATGTAGACGCATGTGTAGACGGCAGAGGACGTGTCAGGGCCGCTTCGCCGTCGTTCTCGCGACGACGAGATCTCGCGTCCCGCCGCGGGTTGACACCTGGCGTATGCAGGCTTACGGAATACACTGTCTTCCCATCCTCTCGGATAACCGAGTGAAAGATAGAGAAACAGATGATGAGGGGTGGTAGAGGAGGACGAAACAACGGCTGAACTTGTTGGGGAGTTGAAAATTTCGATCAGCGTAATGTACATCTAATGGAGATGTGATAATCGAGTCTGCCAGGTATTATAGACACTAATAGTCATTCGTGGCGGAGTTTGTCAGGTATTATGCACATCAATAGTCATTGATAGCTGAGTTTGCCTGATATTATGGATATTAATGAACATTGAAATGTTTATCGTAATAAATTAAATGTACCAAATCGTGGATGTGTATTATAAATCGACTGTGCAACCATCGCTATGCCGATATGCAACTTCGATTATAATCAATTTCTCTTGTTTTTTACATCTGTGACCGCGATAACTGATCATTAAACACTATCCTTTCGTGCGATTTACGCAACTTTCCTCCGAGATTGCGAGAACACCGCGAAGATGTACAAGAAATATTTAGATACAATTCGTTATCATTAGAAATTCGAGAAGTTGCTTGGTTGTAGAGAAAATTTGTGCTTCAGTTTCCTTTTTTGCGCGCGTTCTCGCGCATATCGCGAGCTGAAGTTCTTTTCGTCGAATCTCTCGGCCTCGTTTATCAAGTGCGCGCATCGCAGTCTAGGAAGGTATACTGTAGTCTACTACTCTCACCGTAGTCCACTCGACTCCGTCGTCGATTCTATTTCCGACGATCCGACTAACATTCGCCTTCTCTCTGTGTGTGTTGCAGGGATTACGTTCGACACGAATTGGATGCAGTGACGTCATCGGGAGTTAGCTCCACGGTGAGTAAAGTTATGCACGATTCCGGTTTCAATTGGATTCAGGCCGTTCGCGGCGCAGTTCGAAACGTGGACGACGAGCTCGATCGGCTCGAACTTCCGCGCGCAAAAAACTTTGCACGCGTCTTGAATACACATTCCGTGGCTGTATTAAGAATATGATATAAGATATCGATTTATGGAACGATGTAAGATGATTTTTCCTATATCGGTGATATAGTTATATTTTGAAGGGACAGTAGAGGTTCAGTCTAGTTCACTTGTTTAAAGATCTGAGAGAATCAATTTGGATTTATCGTTCCTCGACATTTTTCAAACACGAACTTTTGTGAACTCTTCAAATTCCGATCGTGTTCAAGTTTGTCCCGCGTCTTTTTAGCTAGAGGAATATTCTTGGGATCATTTTAGTACAAGTTGATTTAAGATTTAAGATTGTAGACACGCGTGATGGCTATAAAATTAGGGCAAACTTGGGTATCATTCCGAAGCGGTACCAACAATATACCGTGTGTTTAGAAACGCGTCGAGAACGTTTGCTCGGCTGCCGCCCTCGCGGTAAGTAAAATACGCCGTAACAGGATTAGCCGGGCTATGAATAAATTTGGTACGACGACCGAGATTACAGAATGGTGAGTGTGTATGTGTGTGTGAGAGAGAGAGAGAGAGAGGGGAGGGGGACGGGAGGATGAGAGAAGAGTAATAATATGTGAGAGAGACGTTTCCAACCTGTGAACTTATTCCTCCCCTTCGCTCACGATGACGTTATCGTGCAACCCTCTGCTACGTGGAGCTTCAAACCGCGCGCATACACGCCCGTAAATGTAAGCTCCGTGTGCGAGGCGTCTCAGCAAGCTCGCGACGAGAAAGCCTCTCGACAAAAAAGTCCGAAGAGAGAGAAAGAGAGACGGCGGACACGGGAAACGGGAAAAGAGACGGGGGATGGTCGCGCTCGAAAACATTTACAGCGAATCGGATTAACGCGGGTATTTAATCCCGCTCGCGGCTTTCTCGTCGGCGAAATAAAAAGGGGACAGGTAGAAAGGGACGCGAAAAAGATTGCGCGCGCGATGCACACAAAACGGAATCGCGGGCATAAAGGGTTTGCCCAGCGCGAAGCAAGAGAACGAAGAGGAGAAGCAGGGGAGAGGCAACGCAGACAGACTTCGGTGAAATCTCATCTCTTTAATGGGTGCAGCTTCCGCGACGAGCGAAGAGCTGCCTCTAGCGAGCTTTCGCTGTGTATCGGGATATTCGACTGATAGTACGGAGCGCGACAGGCGCGAAAAACGCGGCCTACGATTTGATTCGCGTGTCGAAGGAGCTCGGGGCGATTTTTAATCACGTTGAAAAGGCGCAAGGCGAAGGTGGGAGCTTCTTACGCGCCTGGTCTTGACATTTATCGCGCGCGACTGTTAATCTCCTTTAAAAGCATCGGTAAATCTTCGAAATTTCACGCCTCGTCGCCTCTGTCCTCGACGCGTTCTGATAAAACGTTCCGTGCACGGGCGTTGTTACTGTTACGTCGAATCGTCGGAAAGTTATGGATTGTCGTGAAATTTCATAAACACGCAATGCCGTGGAAATACTACTTTCTTTATTTGCCGCGAATTAAATTTCACAGCCGCGCGTTTATTTATTCCTCTTTTTTCTTGCATCGCTTCGAGTGGACTTCACTTTGACAGAATTTTAATTCGAAGCTTTAGTTACTAAGACATTTAATGTTGGAAATTAAAAAAATAAGAGAAACAAATGAAAACACAGGGAAAAGCGAAAAATTTATTTTAAATCCCGTAGCCCGCTTCTCTCTCTCTCTCTCTCTCTCTCTCTCTCTCTCTCTCTCTCTTTCTCTTCCCCGTTTTCTGCTGCTATATGCCGCGCGTTATATTTCCCGGTATGCCCCGCGATAGTGAATTATTTCTTCGTATTTTTACGTATTAACGCGGAAAATAATTAAAAGATGCACGTGGAAATCGGACACCGCGCGCGTTGGTGGGTAACAATAGCGAGGAGCGCTGAATTAAAATAACGCTCTCTCGGCGAACACGCGATCGCGGACTCAACGCTCGAGTGCGGCTTAAAACATCGGTTTTAACGCGGCCAGCGTGACGTGCCGTGATATATGCGCGTTGGCATTTTCTGATCAATAATCTGTACGCATTTATGAGAGCGGAAGAGACGCGTATCAAACGCGCATCGCGTCGCGCTCGGTCTGCTACGCAAGACAGTAATTTGCAATTAGCGGTCACGACAAAGTGCGCCGGCTAACTTTCTCGCGCGTTGCGTTTGCACTCCCCGCTTTCCCGTACCTTTCCTTTTTTCTCCCTACCTTTTGTTTCACAAAAACACCAATACGACGGTTCGTCGACACACCAGCGCGCAGATTAATCTCAGCAAGTCGTAATTAGCGTAATGAACCGCGGAACGTTATCTCCTAGTGTCCTTCTCGCCCCATCGCGGGGCTCCTCAAAACCCGAGAGCAATTTTCTGCACTTGTCCATCGTTATTGCTCTTCGTGAGATTTTCGCTGTTTCCTTGATAACGATCTTGCACGACAATACAACCTGCTCGTCCAGCTCACTCTAAGCGCGTGTCGCGCGACGACGACAGCTACTACCCAACCGAATAACGCGTAAATTCCGAACGACGACGTTTCTGGCGCAACACGAGAGAGACCTCATTTAAGAAATCGCAATTTTCCTTACGTCCTCGGCACAGCTTCGCCGAGTTGCACAGGCGTTGCCGTTCTGCGCGCGACGCGGCGCCTGTCGATATATTCCGTGTACGTTGTAACGACGTGCACCGCTTGCCACCCTCGCGCCTTCATTTTTACAGCCAGCCGACGGGGCAGCGCGAGCGCGCGCGGACGGGGTGCAACATTTCCTTCAGTTTCCCTCAAATCTTCCAGCGAAGTCGAAACACCGGTGGCGGAGCGCGATCGGCGCGCGAGCACGTATCGCTCAGACATTCGCCCGCACTTGGGTAGATGCTTCACGGCAGGCATTCGCAATTTCGCTTTTCTCTCTCACTTGCCACCTCGGCTTTCCCCGACGCCGTTTTCTCCCTCTTAACCTCCCTCTTTTCCCCTCCTTTTTCTCGCTTCTCACGCTCGTATTTCCCGCCGTACTGATGGAAAACGTAGCCTTTACGTCTTATCGAGAGCCGAGAGCGGTAATCGTGACGGCCCGATTTCGTGCCGCGGACCATCTACTATTACCACTACTACTACGGCCGGGGAACCCGGTGAAAAATGAACCGGGTCAGATCGTATATGGGGCCGGCCTGCGGGCCCGCTCGCGTGAAAGAGCGTGCGCGAGATACGTGACCCTAGCGAGTCTTCATAAATCCGGCGTCAATATCGGCGGAAACGTGAGCGCACCTCCTCTCCGCCCGCCACCTCTCCTGGTATTGACCCCCTCTCGTGTCTACGACTTTGATTATTTGCGATTATTTCACGACGTCATGAGGAGCTTCCCACGTCGAACTGCGCCCTCAGAAATTAAATTAAGAGCTCAGGTATAAGTCTCGGACGACTTGCGGTAATGTCGAGGTTTTTGAATTTCGTCGCGGCATCTCGACGTTAAGGCGACTTTCAACACGCGAGGGAGAAGGGGCTATCACGATCTCGTAGTAGTTTTCACCTGGTCATACATTTCTGTCACATTGACAACGCCAGATTTGGCCATTGAAGTTTGCCAACAGTCGCCGCCAAACTTCTCTCCCGCGTTACGCGTTATTCCAATCTATTAATCCGGCAGTCGATATTGCTCGGCTCTTTTTACGGCGGTTTGCCTCTAACATTGGACTTTCCAGGGAAGCGAAAGTAAAAGCTTTTCTCTTTCTCTTCCTCTTCTGGAAACGTCCAAACGTGATACCTACCTAATTACCAAGGAGCTTTTGTAAGCGGAACGAAGCGAGTGCTCGAAAAGGAGAGTCGGCGAACACGAGCGGTAAAGAGAGACGAAACGATAGGACGATGCCGATGTCGAGAGGGGCCCGCGGGAATGTCCATTGCTAACGGGCATTTGTATGTAAATGGCCTCATAGTTGCGAAAGTCTCGTCGAGTACAGAACCGGCGGAGTGGAGCTAACGAGACCGATCGTCAGGCGGGAAAAAGAAGAGACATCGGCAAAAAGAGAGGTAGGAGGGAGAGAGGAGTTGCTCGAAATAAAACGTTTGACTCGCGTCTGTCGTTAATGTTCGTACTGCTTCCCCTCGCGCGCGCTGCCTTTTCCTACTTCGCGCGAGAACCGACATCTATTTCCTGCGCGTTTGCCCGCGTCCCGTGCGAAGCACGAAACTTCGGTCGTCGATCGTCGTCTTTGCAACAGCCCGTCGCAGTTTCTCCTTCCTGGCGGGTAGGCGAGCAGCAGGATAAACAAAGCACGTCGCATTTTTGCGAAAGACAATCCGCGCTCGTAGATAAGCTATTGTTTCCTCGTTGTGCAATGTACCCGCCGCCTTTCGGTAAACGTTCAGTCAAACTGACGTGGGAATAGATCGCCCCCGCGTATAATATTTAGATCGTGCCGAGGCGCTCTCACGCGCCGCAAAATCGATACTTGTTACGTTTCGCTCGCTATTAATTAATCGCCTTGCCGGGCCGCGTATACCTCCTAATGGATACTTCTATCTTTATTACACGTTCAGATAGTAATTCAAATATAGCGCGCGCTAACGCGAGAGATACCGTTCTCGAGACGACGATAACGCGCTCGCACGTGCGATAACACATCCCGGAAAGCAGTATATTTGTCATCGTTGCGTAATCCTTCTCTTACGACGCGCGCGCGCGCGCGCGACGGCCCATTGTCATTGACTCGATATTTACGACGGTACGCGAGACTTTACATCCGATAAGGAATTTCTACGTTCGATTACCGTACAGAGCGCGAGATATATACGTATCTGGACCGAGTCCACGTAGGTGAATAAATCATTGGTACGGTCGAACACACATACACACACAGACACACGCGGGGGTGTACACGCGGATGAGATACAG